CCCCCCCCCCCCCCCCAGAGTCTGTACGAACGAACGGACAGACATCGTTCGTACGGTGATGTCATGACCAAATTTACTCGGCTTCATGGGTTACCAAAATGTCTAAGGAATGGATGCCCCGCTCTTCTTCAGTCACAATATGAGCTTCTGTAGCCTCCTTGTGGCGGATGGCAGGCCATCTTAGAATACGTATACTCGAAATCGAGAAAATTGGCATTTTTTCTTGTGAGGTATTTACGGTCACATACTTGAAATGATTTCGGACCCTTGTTAAAAGGTCTATCTAGGGATGTTTTACAAAGAAAGCGTTACGTGAACCTATAAACATCTACGCAACTGTGAGCTTTCTCAACAAATTCAAGATCTATGCAGTTTACCAGATATTTTTATCAGATCAAATATTTCACATGCAGATTAAATGAACAGAGAAATCTTCCTACAAGCAGTTCATCTAAAGAACATTGGACAGTGACGATAACTAGATAACGATAATCTGCTATTACACAAAGACTAATTATATTAAGCGTCTCATGCAATCAATGAACAATTTACTTAAAAACCTCCCTGGAACGATGCATTTTTATCTTCAGAAGCTTGTTTTTGTCTTTCACAGTATTAATGCCAACAATTACCACCTCTAGTGTTTAACTTCTGCGCTCAATGTATACTCAAGATGGTAGAGCGGTTTTCAAGTTAGTGTCGGAAGTAATCAGGCAATTTCGAATTCTTTGGTGTTGGTTTTGGTTTTCATGACATTCCATTGAAAACCTTTCGTTTAGAAAAATACCGAAATATAACAACTGATATTATTTCATTCTACTTGAAAACTTATGCAAATGCCGCAATCTGATTGGCGTCTTGATCGTACGCTATCAGCAATTAGTAGAATTTTACTAGTATACTACTGCAAATGCTGTATTCTGATTGGTTGTGCTCCTCGTACACTATGAGCCATTAGCAGAATTCTACTAGTCTACTAATGCAAATGCTGTAATCTGACTGGCTGAGCCATTGCACTCTATTAGCCATTAGTGTGCAATGGCTCGGTGTGGTCGACAAAATTACAATGTTTCCTAGTTTCTCCGAAGTTTTAAACGAGCATTTAGAGAAAAAATGGGTAATCAAATTCCTGAGAAGACTAAAGGGAGGGCATTTATCGTTTCATGAATTAAAAAAGCTCGAAATTTTTGAAAGAAAATGGAAGCTATTGTTTATTTAGTGTGGAGTGGCTGGAGGTAGTCTAAGAAATGGCGACGTTTTTTGCGTTTTTCAAAAGCTTTGGAAGAACATTTTGATGCAAATGGATAATTAAATTCTCGAGAAGACTAAAAGAAGGAAATTTACAGTGTCTTGACTTTAAAAAAAACTTGAAATTATTGAAAAAAATGCTGCGCGCGCACACAACTGCAATTTCAAATGACGGTTTAATCTGGACGATCTCTCTGAGGCACGAAGGTTAATAGTACTTCGAGAAATAATCGGAAACCATTGTTTGAAGTAATTTCAGTCAGAGTTCTACTAAAACAATTAGATTATTCGCTCGAGATTTCTATGAAGCGATAGTTGGTTTTAGCTTTCGGCCTCATCACCTCATAGAAATCTCGAGCTCCACCACTTGGATTGAGCTCTATCCTTTATCACTCAGTTTATCTGGTCGCGTGTCCAAATTGATGATTAATCTGGACAGTGTGAGAAGTAAACAAATAGTTCTGCGCATGTGTATATCGAAATTTGCGCTGGTAGTAAAATTAAAGAAATAATCTGTTGTCAAAGTCTACGTAATACTTACTGAAGGAAGTTAGTTTCCATATCAATTTCTACACTTGGACTAAGTGCATCTGGAAGAGAAAAATAAACCTTGTCCTCCCTGTTCAGCGGATGGCGTGATGTTTCTTGGCCTTGGCTAACCACGGTATATCTTCTAGATACATTCTTCCACACTCTACTCGCCATTTGAAGTGGGTAACAGCATAGAACGAGGAGGCGTTCAACCAGATTTTCAGGAGAACACAAACAGGCTAGGAATCCTGCACGTTGTGGCGCGGAGGAATCACATTTGAGAAGCTCTCGAATACTCGCTTCTTCCAAAGTCTCAGATGCTAGGATCACAGTAAACCTGAGAAGAAATATGGTACAGTCCACACCACGTACAAAAAAAAAATTGAAAACGAAGCTTTATTTATACGGTTAAGTCTACCGTCCAGACTAATCAGACAAGAAAACGAAGCTTTTCGAAAACGTTCTTAAAACCGGAGGAATTTGAAAACGCGGGCTTTTCGTTTTCGTGTGGACGGCAAAACGTTTTGAAACCGGAGCTTACTCATGAGTTAATCATGAGCTTTCCTTGACCAACTTTTTCTCAAACACAAATCCAAAATGACCAGTGATTCCTCCGGCGTAGAGTAGACGGAAAACATTTGATGCGTTTTCGGAGTCAAACCGCTATTTTCAAATTCCCCCGGAGTAGTGTGGACTACTCCGATTGATTGATTTTAAGAGTAAGATTGATTTTAAGCCAACGAATTACAGAAAAGTCGTTAGATGAGAGGTAAACAGAAAACAAATATAGCAAGGAAACATGTTAATATATCATTGATGTTTATGGATTCAAAGTTACTTAAACGGTTGTTTCTCTTCCTTTATAATACAGGCTGATACAGGGATAAAAAATAAATATTTGCGACAGTAGAGTAGTCCCTCTTTCACTTAGTCCGTCGAGCGGGACCGTAAATTCGCGAGGAAAAAATTCGCGAGGCGATTTTTTTCTCGCAGTTTTGTTTGTCGTGCCACGCACGACAGATTAAGCGAAAGAGGGACTACTCGTAGTCTAATCACTCTTTATTTGACCTTCCTATTCAACCAATCATTTGCAAAACCGAAAGCAATCGATAATTTGTCCCCCGTGTTTCTCCGCGCTTGGGGTCGCTTAAGTGCCATTTGCGTTGAGATTTCGTCCGTTTATTATGTTACATTCATTGTAATTGGCCATAATGATTGCCTAGGACAAGAGAAAATAAGGTAAGAGAACACATCCCCGTGCCCTATGACAATCTTTTTCAATCTATGTTAAGTTTTCCCTCAAGCTGTCAAAGTTATTTTTAGTCTCGGTCCCATGATCGCGCAGACAATAGCCAACGGTCATCGGGTCGCGTCCATCTAAATATGAAATTGAAAATCTAGCAGGTTAACAGAAAAAAAAAAGTTTCTTTTGAACTAACGCAGTGTGAGCTTTGGAAATCATCAAAGCGCTGGGCAGGAAAATTGTACGTGCTTCTCCAAAGTTCAAATAGAAGTCGTGTCATTCCCCGACCCTGTATGAATGATCAACACAAGGCGCTAAGATTCGAATTTCTAACTTTCTCAAAAAGCACCCAACGGATTGAAGCGAAAAGCATCTCTTTCGACAGGTATATTTCAAAGCGCAAGACAGCTAAAATATTTGTTTCGTGTTTGTTAAAACTTTCGCTCCCCCGCAAAAAACAGTGCAAATGTTTGCATATTTAATTTCGGAAGTGCTGTGTAATGTTTACCAGGTTTGCATGTTCAAGGCGAGGAAAGCTGCTTCTCCGGACTTATCGCAACTTTTCGATCGAGAGAGGTCTCTTTGGAAAGCATTTGCAAAGCGCCGGGCAGGAAAGTCATATTCTATATGTTTATCCTAAGTCTGCTTCGAAAATAAGTCTTGCCATTTCTCTTCATGACTAATTCACATGAGAGGGTCCCTTGCCTTATACTTTTTCATGACGCGTGAATGGGCGTTTTTGCCTTGCGTGAAGCATGAATAAGAATTTATTTTTTCCGTGATTCGTAAATCTATATTTTTCCGTCCTCAGGAAACTGGTTTTTGATTTTTTCGTAATCCGTGAAATATGCATTTACTTACGCGTGATTTGTAAACCAAAGACTTTACTGGGAATAATTTTTCACTTTTTTGGAGATTTTAGAGTCATTAAAGCTCGTTGACTACACCAAACTAGAAGTAAAACCTGCCCAAGGTAGTTTAATCTGTCAGTATCCACACTCCATCCAGCTTTTACTGATGTCTGCTCAGCCATCGCTTCGACATATTTACGGAAATATGTCAACAAAGTGTTAATATGTATGTCGAGATTGAGGGAGAAGTCGAAATGAGTGGAATTAACCGAACTTGCCGAACTACAATAGCGGATAGTCATCTCACGCTCTACCACAAAGGTTTTTCAATTACCCAAGCCACAAAAGATCTAGGCATGCTGATCGACGAGAACAGAGTCTGAAATTACCAAAAGAAAGCCATGTGCAACTATATCTACTACGGCACACTTCAGTTATGTCACGTAAAATGTTTTAATACATTTTTGTGATGATTTTATTTATTTTTTTATTTATTTTTGTGATGATTTATGTTTTGAGAAACGTGAATAGAATTTGTATTTTTAAGTGAAACATGGTTTAGCCTTTGCATTTTCACGTGAAACGTGATTGCTCGCTTTTTTTCTGTGAACGTGAAGCTGTTTTTCGAATTTTTCGTGATGCGTGAAAATAGAGGATATTACATGCCCGCGCGTGGATACGTGGATATCCCACAAGTGAGCCCAGCGAACGAGTGAGATATTGAGTTGAACACGAGAGGATAAAATTCATATCCACAAGCGGGCATGTAATATTCTGTTTATTATATAAACATACTAATGACGACGTTTTTAACGATTTTCCGAAGATTTCGACCACTTTCCGANCTTTATAATAAAAAGAACATGGAATAACTCAACGATATGAATTTTATGTTCTCGTCGCAAAAACAATATCGAACATAAAATTCATATCTTCTCGCCACCGTGTAATATCGTCTATAAACGACATAACGATATAATAACATAACGACAAAATCGTCCATATCGGTAATGTCAACATCGACATAAGGAAAAGATCAATCTTTTTTCCCTATGTCATAATGTCCGTGCCGTTACTTTGCTGTTGTGACGTCATTAAGTCAGAATGTTCACACTGTAAACATAACAACATAACGACTTCTTTTATGTACCTATGTTTATGTCGTTATGTCGCTAGAGTGAACTAGGCCTTAAGCGACCACGACCACATTTAGGGCCAACTGATTGAAATTATCCAACGATTTTCTTCGCTTATAACTATAGCCACTACTTGACAAGTGATTCGATCACACTGCTCAGAATTGCGTAAACGAGAGGCCCGACCTCGACCTTACAGTGAATTGTTTTCAAACAAGTGCAATACCAGCCCGACATCTAACAGGATAGAGACCATCATCTTCCGTAATTTAAGATCTTTCCGTTGGTCAACGATTCTCTTTACAGTATTTCATTAACCAAGAGAAACAATGAAAAGAAAACTTAAGGTACTTACAGTGAAAAGTGGGTGACTTGAAATGTCACAGTCCCGTTCTCTAGTTTAGCTGGTGGTCTCAGGTCCTTTGTGATGTCAACCCATTCCTGTGAGCTATCCTCCAAGCTTCGGTAACATATTCTCACACTGCTTATCGACAGGTTCTGTAATTTCTGGAGGTCTTGTTCCGAAGCAACGGGTATTCTTATCGAAGCAGGCTCTTTAAGCTTCAATTCCACAGGGCACGAGATATGAAGAATTGGACCAGCAAAAGCTCTTTTTTCTTCATAATTATAATTTGGAACCTCTTGAACCTGAATACAGAGTTTCATTATGATTAAACCTTGTCTCGTTCTCGGCTGATAAGATGCTACAATACAAAACAAATCTTTTACGTTTAACATAGACTACGAGTAGTCCCTATTGTTTTTCACATTACGCTCGACGTGAGCGTCAGGAGCTGCAAAAATATTCTGGTAGTCAAGATATTTGTCATGTGGGCTGTCAGTTCTGCTTTTCTAACGTTAAGGAGAAAGACCTCGACAAACAAATTCTACATTATCGCTCTGAACCCTCTAAAACCTGTCCAGCTATTTTAGTACAATCTATTCGCCCCAAAATTCAGGAAGTCAATTCTAAACTTTTCAACCATTTACACCAAATTAAGGCCCAAATGCAAAAACTTCAACAATTAATAGGTCCTCAAATTACTTGTGACTTATCACTTAAAAGCCTTAACACCGTGGCTTCTATTCCAGAAAATCTTCCGCTTTCCAACTCAGAGAAATCCGTCCCAGTAAGCTAAGGGNATCAGTTTGTCATTGTCTCAGAGTTGTGCTCGTTGACTTTATTTCTTTTTTGTTACATGATGGCAGTAAACCTGTGTGACATTATTCGATGGTAGGGCGGAATTTGAAATAAATCACGAGACAATTGTAAAGTTTCGATGTAAAATTCACAGTTCATGGAGGTAAAGAATTGTCTCCTAATACTTTTATTTTTATTTTATCTCATCTCGTAATTTCCTCTAATCCTTACCTCTATGTATAAGTAATGAGCGGTCCCTTGTAAAGCATTAAACTGACAAAGAACGTTTTAAATTCCTAATAATATCCTCTTACCTTCATTGTCAATTCTACATCTTCTCGCAAAGACTTTCTGGGAATTGTCACACTCACATCCGAACACTCAGAAACTGGACTTGGGACTTGACAAGTCAACTCGGGACTTTCCATTGACGCGTCGAATGAGAATTTGTAAGACTTGAGACGACAGATCACAGCGTACAGAGAAAAGCTCGTTATTGTAGCTTGGACAGACTGTAAAGCACTTTGCCTTTCACAATTTTCACGCAGAGACTCTATGATAAACAGATGTAAATAAGAAATATGATATGTTGTAGCCATCCCATTTTTATATGCGGTTACTGTACTATTGTCACACAGCGTGATAGAGTTCAATCTCCTCCAAGTGCAGCACAGTACTGGATGCATACCCCTTTACAAGATGGGAACTCAAAATTTTTCCGACTGTTTGGGTCTGAAAATTATTAAGGCTGCCCCACTTACAAATCATTTCAGAAGCTTAATATTTTATTTTCATTTTAACGTAACAGAAAAACGTTGTGAGAAATTTTGCCTCGATAAATGATACATGTGATAGTGTGAGCTACGGCGCTCTCCACCATAGAACAAAATTTCACGTTTGCATTTTTGGAAATTTCCAGAGGCGAAGCGCGCGAGGTGTATCCCAATTTTTAAACGTTTCTGATTTTTCCCCAAATATGTATTTCCAGATATATTTGGAAACTTTCTAAAAAATTCTTCGCGTCGTTTAACCCTGTTTGCAAAGTTAGGGAACTTTTGGTTGATTAAAAGACTCCCTAAATTGTACACCAATTCTGTAACAAAGATTTCATAACTTTGCTGTGTAACTATGGGAGATGGTGATCGTTAAAAATAAACAACTCGAGCTCCCTTTCTCTCTCTCTCTGTCTCTCTCTCTCTCTCTTGGTTTGTTGATTAGTTTTTTTTGTTTCTTTTTGTTTTTGTTTTTGTTTTTGTTTTTGTTTTTGTTTTTGTTTTTGTTTTTGTTTTTGTTTTTGTTTTTGTTTTTGTTTTTGTTTTTGTTTGTTTTTGTTTTTTTTTCACCGCGCTCCAACTATACAATAAAACGCCTGAACAGGGTAGCCAGCAGACAAAATATCCAGTAATCTTCACGCTCATGCCACATTAGGCGCGTGAATCGCGCGACTTTCCTGACCGTCGGAGACATATTCAAATAATAAAAGTACGATGCCTGCCTTCGCAAGGTTTTACGAGACTCTTCAATATCTCCAATTGTTTTGAACAACGGACGCATTAACGCTTTTTCACTTGTTAAATTAAGAGCAATATACCTTGTGAATCCCAAATTACGTTTGAAGTATTCAAATTCTTCCAAATGTTGTTCTCTGAGTCAGTCTGTTCTTTCATCACCAGTTCGTATCCTCCCAAGTCAGTTGCACTGTGCAACAAGGCCACGGTAACACCAGTAAAGTTAACACCTAGTGGATCATCGCAGGCAAGTTGTATTACGCTGCTGACCAATGATTCATCACCTTTAAGAGGCAGTGAGACAGCACTGGGACGCCACGTTGAACATGTGATCCGTTTGACTTCCGGCACCGCTTTAGGAGAAAATTTTATGCAAACACCACTTTCTCTGAAGTCGCACGTGGCACCTTCCTCGGCAATTGTCTCTCTTTTTGGGAAATAGAAAAAAAAAACATAATGTTTATTATTTATAGTAGAGGGTCTGGAATGAGTTTAGCTGGTTGTTTACTGGGGACCATTTCGATTACGTCTCAACAATGTTTCGTAAACAAATAAACACCTTCACAGATCAATTTGCTGTGCCGAGTTTAGTAAATGTGCGAACTTTTATAGGAATCCGTTACTGACTTTACTTCATTCCATATAATAGAATAACAGTGAATTTCTTATGGAACGGTTTTCAACTGAGTGTCGTAAAACCAAATCGAAACCAATTACTTACCAATTAGACCGCTTAGCCACTCTCAAGTCGTAGTAAAACCAAAACCAAAGCAGAAGTAATCATCTTTTAACAAATAGAATGTGGTCTAGCGTGGTCTGTACTCTTATCGACTAAGATACGCGTCATCACAGTTGTCAAAATGTCTTGGACTCACGAGCCGCAGCCGAGTGAGTCCACAACAAATTTTGACCACTGTGATGACGCGTATAGTTCTCGATAAGAGTACAGACAACGCCAAACCACATTCGATTTGTTTTCTACCACAATATCAACATCAAAGACAATTTTTTCTAGAGTGCGATCTGAAAAAAGCATTGCGTGACACATTGACGCGAGCAGCACTGTCTGGACTTTTATGGACAACGGCAAATTAGCCAATCAGATTGCGAGATTAGTAGCAATTGTGGTAAGAATTATTTTTGACACTCAATTGAAAACTGCTCTATGGGCGTTAGAGCGGTTTTCAATTTAGTGTAGTAAAACCAAAACCAAACCAATTACTGACCAATTAGAGTTCTCAGCCAATTTCAAACCGTAGTAAAACCAAAACCAAAACCAAAGTAAGTGTCTGATTACTTTCGACACTCAATTGAAAACCACTCTATTCCCAACGTAATACCTTATTAGTTATTATCTTAAAAGGGCCTGCTGTGTCAACTATAGCCGATCTTATCAGTCGAATCCTTTTCAAAATTCAGTTCAACATACTTGTTGGACATTGCTCTTGAAGAAAGTTTTCACGAGTTGGAAATCAAAATTTGCAGGTGTCTTTAGCTATAAGTTGGTATTTTACGACAACTACAGAAATACTCGAATGCTCATTGGCTAATTTTCATTGTCAATAAGCAGACAGACACATGAATTTACAGTTTATGCGATGCGTAAGCGAGCGAGGGAGGACAATTTCACAAATTGTTATCGTAAAAAAAAATTGACGTCAATTTTTCATGCGTCCGTGCTGTTATTGTCAATGAATTTCGGTATAACTTTGTCAAAGTAGTCTGCGGAACCACTCGGCTATCCGCCTCAGGGCTCGCAAAAAAAATTATCTCAAACTGGTTGAAGCTGTTCTAAAAATTTTCGTGTTGGGAAGATATTTTTGGCACTCATTGGCAATGTACTCATGCTGCATGGTGAAAACTGTACTTACTCGAAGATTATAGTCTTTGGAGCGTCTTCTGGAAAACGTGAGGCTGCGAAAACTAAAAACAAAAGTGTCTTATCAAGAACAACATTGATATGCCAGTCATTTCTGTCTACTTTAAATTATGTTTTCCCAGAAAGTTTAGTGATCAAATGACATGCAAACACTGTGTCTACGTACGTCATCTAGAAAACAAGCTGCTTAATAAATGAAAATAAAATAAACTTCAGAAGAACTGTCTGCGGAAAATGTGAATGTTGTTACTGGGTGTCTGTCTTTAAAGGAAAAGGTCACTCCAAAAACTTTGCATTTTTTTCCATCACCAATAAAAATTTCACATTGAGTTGAGTTACTCTCCGTTGTTTTAGCTTCTGAAGTGGATGCGATCCCAATGAAAAAGAAGTGAAAAGTTTGACACTGGGAGCAACCATTTTGAAAGAATCTTGAAAGCCAGGCCGCATATCCATGACGTCATTCAGTCCGAATTAACGCGAAGCTCAAAGGTTAAAGTTCTCCCTTTCTGTTCTAAATTCGTTTATTCAGTTGTGAGCTAAAATGTTGGGCCCTGGACTGTAAAACCCAAACCGAAAAGGTTAGGGAAAGAGGAGTGACTTTCCTTAATTTGCCTGCAAAGAACAAAAAATTGCCAAAG